GTGGGATATAGCTTGTTGATTGTATGCACGTGCAATGGATATGATAAATTAAAACGTCATAGCTAGAGCGTGTGAAGAAGAAAAATAATTTAAAAAAAATTGGGTGGTGAAGGGGACAAGTAGGAATATCTTTAATCATGAATTTGGCCTTAATCAATACTTTATGAACTACAACTTTAATATTATGCTCTTTCTTTGGAGGTTACAAAACAAAGCATGGGAGATATCTTGGTAAATGGCATGATGAGTTTGACTTTGGAGAAATTTCCATTGCTCAGTGGACCTATATACTGCTTCCAAAAAGAAATTCCACAATTGAGGCTCTGTATCTTTGATCCAGTATATAAAGAAAAGTATATTTATGTATAATTATAGATTAATGAATTACTTAATTATGCTTAATTATATGGTGTGTTTTGAAGCATGTTGAAGACCCAAATGGAGTGGAATGGGAAGGCAAATGGGGTTGAAGAAGATTGGACATGCGAGAAAGAATTTTATTGAACATGAGGGCCCCAAAGGACCTTTATTGCCATGCGGTGCCTAGCAAACAAACAAAAGCATGAGGCAACAAGCAAATCATGCTCTTGTCACCAGAGCACAAGATAGAGTGGAGAAATGACTGAACACATCTTGAAAAAGCCGTTTGATTTAAGTTATTGGCTTCAAACATCACCTCCTTTCTTTTGTCCCCTTGGAACCCCATGAGCCAAGCTCCATCATGTGGTTTCACTTCATTAAGCCATGCAGCACAAAAGGTTCATTGGCCTCAACTATCATGGACTCTCTCTCACAAAAGGAGGGAGAAGAGCCAAGGACCTCATTTTCCTAAGACTTAGTAATAAGCCTGAAGCAAGGGGCAAGTGGTTACGAGCATTTACCCATGCACCCGAGGTCCTAGGTTCGATTCCCAACTCCCCTAATATCGATTGTATAAAGAAAATAATAGTAAGCCTGAATGCCATGAACCTTAAGGCAGTGACCTGCAACCGCAGGCCTGACCTTTCAGTATCGGTGGTAGAGGCAAAGCACGGCTTATAATTGGCTTCTTCGACCATCAGGCCCATCAGTTTCCTCCTTCGTCCCCTAGGAATCCCACGAACCCCATCATGGGGTCTCAGTTCATTATGCCATGTAGCACAAAAGGCTTCTCATAGACTCACCCACACACACCAAACATGCTCAGAAAGTGAGAGGGATAAGATCCCAGGACCCCATTAAGATTCAAGACTTCAATTGAAAAAAAAGAATCTATCTTGAGTCTAATATTTATTCAATAGCTATTCATCTAAGAAAATAATGGGAAGCAGCAACAAGACTAAAGTTGTAAATTGTAATGTAAGCTTGCATTCATATTTGTAAAATTACATGAGATGAATATCAAAATTCCAAGGAATTTAGACCTTGGACTTCACATGTAATCTAACCAAGAAAAAAAATGATGAATTTCAAATATGTGAATGATATTCTCAAGTACAACTGTACATTTTGCAACCTATTTTCTAGAGGCAGGGTTTAGTAGCTCTCTGGAAACTCAATGCTTTGTTTCAAATATGTGACTAATCCTCTTTACCTGTGCACCGCTTGCTTTCATGATTTGCTGGTTTCACTTTTCTGTTTCTTCTGATTTATAGTTGTTTCTTTGTGTGGTCTTCTGGTACAGAAAAAAGGTGACCACAGTTAATCCACTAATGGCAAGGAGCTAAAAGTAATACCTGATGCATTGCATATATGCAACACATTTTTGACCTTTGAAAACCTTTGCATGTCTTTTTGGCAGGAAAAAACACTTCTAGAAAAATAAAGAAACATCATGTTTATGCCAACTATGGGAAGGATTAGTGTTCCAAGAATGATGGGTGCTGGGAGAGAGAGCAGCATCATAATGTGAACAAGTTAGCCAAGGGGAAGGAAATTGGTGTCATTTCCGACCACTTAATAGCAAGCTAAAAAGAATATAAATTCGCTTTAAAAACAGTATTAAATTTTGCAACCACCATATGCATTGTAAATTTCATAAGATACTGAAGAAAATTTCATACAATGAACCCTCAAAACTTTACTTATAGATCAACTGAAACAACAACCCATCTCCAGAAAATCTGGAAATTTTACTTTACAAGAATATCCCTGGTTCCTAAGACTTAAGAAAGTATAAATCCATATCAACAGCATAAAACCAAGACGCATTAGTTGTTTCTGCAAGCCTATTGTTGTCTGCATTTTCGGACATACATTCATGCCAAATACATGAAAAACCAGGACCACAAGTGAATAGAACAGTCTAGGAACAGAAAAGACAATTAGCCACCCTGATGCACAAATACATATACACAAGCTAAACATAAAAAAGATATACTCACACAGACATCTAAACAAGTACAACTCACAAACATCATATTGTGACCCAAAATGAAGCAATATTGAGCCTTGTTGCCTCAACTAACCTTTTTATTGGACCCTTTCTCGAATCGATCCCAATACATGCCCTTATCTCTTCAAGACTCATAATATCACCAAGGTTGTATTTTAATAGATTGCAACTTTCCATAAATGCAGCAGATTCGGCCAGTGTCAAATCCTTCACCTTATCTCTGATACATTCCATAAGAACAAATGCTGCACAAATCCTCAGCGAGGAAATACAAGTCAGAAAATTCTAAGCTGCCAAACATAGAAACTCAAATAAAAAAGTCCAAAAATTGACTAGCTATTACTAACTTCAAATTTGATAAATGCCCTGCAGGTGTAACATTAAAGAGCATACAAATCAGGTAGGAGGGAGGAATTCCAACACCTTGTTGGGATAGTGAGGCCACCCCAAATCCAGAACCGGAAACCATCCCCCTCACCCCCTCACCCACCCACCAAACCCCGTCCCAATTTGACTAGGATTTGAGGTATACAACCAATCCTTCTCAATTGAAACAGAGAAAGTCACATCTAAGAAACAAGAATGTTTTCTTTTCCTCTACTAATTTCAGCATTGTAAAAGCATAAAAATATTAAATATCATGAAGAGGACCATTGAAAAAGAAGGAAGGGCAGTCCAAGCTGCAAATCTCAAAGCCACAACTCCAAGAAAGTAGTGCAAGCAGACAAAAACTTGAACAAAGAGAGATGCAAATGAGATCAACATCTTGAGGTTGAGATGGAAATTTCTGTGTAAGTGTTCAAAAGATGTTCATATTCAAGTGAGAGAGAGCGAGGGAGGAAAAGCCCTATTTTGGTGTAGTAAAAGAAATGAAAGGATACTTTGGTAAATAAACTAAACGGGTCAGGTTCAGATATTCAGTTTTCTAGTCTGAAGAAAACATACCTTAAACCTGAACACTCATTCGTTTATCTGTTTCAATCCCAAACCCATCCTACTTTGAAATCAAACTATACAAGTATGTTTGCAACCCTATAAATGTAGATGCAGCAATGGATGATAAGAGGATATCATAACAATAACTATCAATACATGGGGTGTGCGTGTGCGCTTTAATGGAATTAGGCTTCAATAGTGGCAAGGGGCTAAGCTAGGAAGACATATTTTATATGTATTTGCAACCTAATGACAGACCTCGAATCTCAAGCATATTCTGAACTGCATCAAAGTCCAATCCCCTTGTTGTGCATCAAAGTCCAGAATGTAATATACACAGAGTTATGCGTATATACAGCTTAGATATAAAGCCAAATTCAAAGTTAGATAGCTAAGATTCTCGAAAACCTTAAAAGTTTGGTACTACACCCAACCATAAATCCTCAACACATAACAGAACACAGATAAACTCTATCATGCTATCAAGAATGGCAGAAAATAAGAGAACGAGAGACGGTCACACATACCAAGAGCTCGAAGCATCTTGAGATCAAAATTGTTGGCTAGTTCCTCATGCCCAATCATTCTTGCACGTTGAAGAACAATGCTTTTTAAGCTAATCAACATGTCCTGCGATAATATGTGTGTTTACTTCCAATTTCCGACATCAATAAGCATAAAACTGCTGATTTTTTACGTCAAAAATTCAACCTTTATGCAGAATTTGATATGGCCCATCACAAACAACAAACTAAATCAACAAATTAAGTTGCTTTAATGGTGAAAGAAAACTTACAAGCTCGGACTCGGAGAGGGAGCAAAGCCAACTCACATCTTCAAGCCTGTTCTGCCCTAAAATCCCTTCCATCCTCAGAAAAAAATTGATTTTACTTTCTGGGTACTGCCGTGACTTCTCAGACGCAACCGCAGGCGCCGCCGCCGTCGAACCCAGAACAGTCTGAGCTTCTCGCCGTCGAGCCACTTCAGAAGCGCTTCTGGGTCTGAGACTTGTTGGTGGTTTTAGATTCCCAGGATGAATGAGGAGCGGGTGGGCTGAGTGATTCCGGGGGTGAGGGTAGGAGAGGAGTTGTGGCTAGGGACTGGGAGGGAAAGGGAGGGCGTTTTTTTTTTTTTTTTTCCGTCTTTGTTTTTGTTTTATGTTATAAGTTAAAACCCACATTCAAGTTTCGACAGCCCAAAACCACAATCCACAGTCTACAATCTACAGCTCACAAACCACAATCCAATTTTAAAACCTTGGCTCCTGTAATGAGATACCAATTTGTAACTTTAGTTGTTTTTTCATATATATAATTTGTTTTAGTATTTGATATATGATTTGTTTTAGTATTTGACAGTCATTGAACCACAGTTAGCAAAGTTTGGATTTATGGACTAAAATGAGAATTTATCTAATAAATAATTTTTTTTTAAACACCCTTAGCTTAATAACCATGATCTTGGCGAAGCCAATTCCATTGTGTTCTTGCAATTCTTATGTACTTTTCATGGCAAACAAAAAGAAATATTTGATATTTGATCACAGTCAATCAATGCAAGAAGCCAACTTCACTTTTATATAATTGAGAATTCTAGACAGACAATGCTTACAATTTTAATGAATTAAGGAACAAAGAACTAGACTAATTAGCCCTTCAAAAGGATGAAGAAAGCAAATGTAGTTATTGTCACTAGGCTGGGCTGCTTGTCAGTGACTTAAATATTGGACTGCTTGTCACTGATCTATATATCAACTGTTTCTTCTGGTGCAAGTGTTCTTTTAGAAAACGGATTCTTGCATCAACCCTAGCAGAAAATCCAATCTGAGTCATCTTAATGGAGTTGCTTCTTTCCCTTTCCCACATTTGATTGTCTGCAACATCTTTCCTGAAATACTTCATCTCTTGGATCACATGATCATCAAGTGGATAGAACGACCGTTGGATGATGATGTGGATGAAGTAGGGAAGAAGAGAAACAACTACAACAAACAATGTGACTGTCCAGTACAATGGTGCAGGGCCAAGAGCTTCGATTAGAACCCGAAATCCTCGTTGTGAGTAGGCAGGAGGGAGTGCACCATATATCAACAAGAACACATACCAGATCAAGATGCTGCCCCATATGAAAAGATGTTGGATCCAAGTGAAGTGGTTGATGATGAGAGCAATCTGGCAATTGACGGTCCAGATTATGCAGGTGTATGTCATGGCACCAAGGTGTGTGATGTCTGCAACAGCACCATTCTTCTGAAATGCTTTGTGGGAGAGAGTGTATATGTTTGCAAGGAATATGACTAGAGAAGCAACCACGCCATTTAATATCCAACCAAGAATGCGCTTCCAAGTGAAATATATGTTCTTCTGTCCTTGTTGATAAAGAGCTGGAAACTGTTCCATTTAGAGAAAAAAAAAATCCATTAAGAATCTCATCCAGAATTTATGTAGAGTGAATCTGTCAGCTCCAATAAGCTACTAATCAGTAAAAAAAGAGTTGATATATGTTATCATTGTTATCATTGTTATGCATACAGCAGTTGTATACAAGAATCTTATGTGTTTTCTTATTTATGTGTGTGGCTTTAGTCTAATTTGTTTACCTGGAGGCACACTTCTGATGAAACATCTTGCTCAAGCACTCCCAATGATATAACAGGCAAAGATGTCAAAATCACATTGAATAGGGCCATATACCAGTCATCATATAAGACCTCCCCTGCAAACCTTGTGTATAATTCGTAGTAGAACAGCGTGAGCCCGAAAGCGATGTTCTTGTACACGAAGTACAGAATCTGGACAGAGAAAAGGATTTAGAAGATCCAGATTACCATATAAAAATATATTGTCTTTTGATTTAAGTATGATGGAAGAGTTTACCATTTTTGAGATCCTCTTGTAACACCAGTGTCCATGAACTATAAGTAATCTCCCCAAGAACCGGAATTGAGGCAAAGAGATGTCACTGGCCATCACTGCCTGCAGGTGGTGTTCCAGGACAATGTTTAGCTATGATTGGAAGTGCAATCTGTGCATCTTTTATTTAATTCTATATCGTTTTAGCAGAACATGTGTACGATAGTCTATAGATTTGATACTTGACAGTTGGATACAGTCAATGTAGTACGAAATTGTGATGGCTAATGTTGAATTTAGAAAGTAGACATAGTTTGAATGCCAAGGCAAGAAACGTTTTTTATAGTAACCAGCTGAAGAATATACAAGTCTATTGGAATATATCAGAAACAAGGGCTTGATAAAAATAAGCATCTGAAACCAAGCCTAAAGCAAAGTCAAGATTAACAAAGAAAGGTTCCCCAGAAATAGGCCAAAAGTCATCTGTGAAGCTTACCTGCATTCCTTCCATGCCACTGATTCCTACTCCAATATCAGCTTCTTGAATCATGCCAACATCATTTGCCCCATCTCCAATGGCCAAGGTTGTTCTGCCTGTGTGTTCCTTTACCAATCGTGTAATCTGAATCGCCACATTTGTGTGATTAACTCGCATTTGACGAAATGAAAAGAATGAATATGCATAGCCATTGGACTCAATATGAATAGGATGCAGGAAATGACCTACCAAAGCCTTCTGTTTTGGAGAGACCCGGCAGCATATAACAGAAGCACAATTAACAGCCAACGGTAAGAACTGGTCCTTCACATCACTTCTCAGAGCAATTTCAAGAGCTCTTCCATCTACTACCAAAGCCAAGGGTGCATCTTTATTACCTTCTTCAGACTTCACTTTGTGAAAACTTTCAAGTTGGTTTAAAATATCTTCTTTCATCGCCTGGAAACTAGAAAAAAGAAAATATGTGAAATTGTGAATACCAACTCAACTTCTATAAAAGATGATGTTTAAAAACTGTGGACAACTTGCAAACTGCAAGAGTCTGTTTCAAGCTCAAATTCAATTTTTTCCCATAAAACATCTAAACTAAAATGTTAGGTTCTTGAGAAACAAGTTAAAAATGCCACTGCAAAATAGATCTGACTTGGGTGCCATTGTTGGGATGCATTTGATAAGAAACTATAATCTGGCATTCATACTAGTCCCCTGGGGTATGGATGATAATTGGGAGTTTCCGAAATTTAGTATCTTTTCCATTGTTTCCTCAGTATTAGATGACCAAATTCAAATGCAAGCTTTCTAATATTACTGCTCTCTGAAGTGAATTTCCACCTTCAGTTGGTTAGTAGTTGCAGTTTCTCTGCCCAAACTTAGATGAAACTGTTTCATATCCTGCCGAAGTAAGCTGCAAGCAAACCTGCCAATTGGAAGTAGGAAAAGGAAAACAAAAGAAAATCTGTTTAGCTTCTCTTTTGGAAGATTTAAGACTTACAAATAGACCAAGTAAATGATTGTCAAAAGCTTTACCCAATATTTATTGCAGTTTCCTTCTTGTCACCAGTGAGCAGCCATATTTTTATCCCTGCTTGGGCAAGTTTATCTATGCATTCTGGAACCTGACATAAACAAGAAAGTATCAACTATGAGAAAGATCATGTTAGACATTCAAATGCCACACAAGTCCACCTTGTATATGCAGCCCATCCAGTATTTCAGTCAAAGAGACAGATAACTAACCCCTTTTTGTAACTTGTCTTCAACAGCAGCAACCCCTAGTAAAATTAGATCCTTTTCAATCATTTCAGATGCTTTCTCTAGTATTTCTTCCCTTTCAGGACCTATTGTGGTCTTGGCCACCTTAAATATTGAGTTCCATTGTTCATACTCAGTAACCTCAAGTTTCCGGTAGGCAAAGGCCAGAGTTCGGAATCCATCTTCTGCATAATTTGAAAGGTGTAGAGTTGTGGCCTGCTGGTATGTCCTTCCATTTTCTGCAAGCCTGTCAAAGATAATGCTGACAACCACAAGTAATATAAATAAGTTAGTTGGTGGAATAGTATTGAGATTTTCCAACTTAGAACAAAAAGACTGATACTTAGGAATGTAAGACACCATTAACAAAAAAGGGAAAAAAGAAAAAGAAGGTGCAGGCATCAGTAGATGAATTGTTAAAGAAGAATACATACTTATCTGCACCTTTGCAGAGTAGAAAGATTTGACCCTCTTCGTTGCTTACTATAACAGACATCCTCTTCCGAGCGCTACAGAACTCTAAAAGGTTCAAAAGTTTGTACTTCCTGAAAATAACCATCACATCATGCTTGGCCATGCTACCATAAAGAACTTATAAGGAAGTATAGTGGTAACAAGAAAAAAACCAATTATAGGACTTACCGCTCAACCTTATTTCCAGTGGAAGGATCAAACTCCCTAAGAAACATAACAGACTGACTTCTTTGAAAAAACTGAAATCCAAATTCTTGTGCAGCAATTAAAAAAGATACTTCTTCTGGTGATTCTGCCTCATACTTTAGCTTATGAGTTTGATCATCCTCCTCAACAGGTATGCCTGTGTGACATAGAGCCATGACTCTAAAGAACATTGTCACATCAAATAAGTTGGACCTATAAAACCACTTTTTGTTCAGAAGTCTATCATCCCCAAAGTTGAAACCCTTGATGACAGCTTCTTCCTCCACATAAGAGATTCTTGAATTTTCTGCACTCGAATTCTGCATATGTCTTTGTCCTCCTGGAACAGCTCTTTCAGTGCTAATGTCCCCCACTGAGAACTCGAACATTTCACAGCTTCGGCTTGCTGTTTCAAATTCATCAATACTGAAATGATAAGACTCAACATCAACATTCATTCGCTTAGATGCTGCCCGGTCGATTTCATTTATATCACCCCCATATGAAATTCCAGCAATAGAGCATTTCCTAAATTCCATCTGGTTGCATGTCAAAGTTCCTGTTTTATCTGACAGAATCATCCCTACCTGACCAAGTTCCTCATTTAAATTTGATGTCCGGGTTTGAACTGACTTATGTGTAACTTCATCATACAATTCTATATCCTTGTTAATGAGCATGGCTTGTAAAACTTTGACAACCTCAATAGAGACATAGAGAGAAATGGGGATCAAGTAGCCATACAAAATAAGGGCCCTTATGAATTGTAGGAAACCAGATACCTCTGGCTTTGACGGGTTAAAGAATGGATCATCATCTTCGAGAGAAAGATACCACCACTTAACCATCTCAGACTTCAGAAACCACGCAAAACCGGATGCAGTGACCAGTGAAATTAAGAGAAGCATTGTAAAGAGAAGGTAAATAACAAGATCCATCTTTCTTTCAATCCGACTACGCTTAGATGGTGATCTGGTTGAATTCCTTACTGCTTTTGAGTCAGGTCCACTGAAGATCACAACTCCATAAATATAATCAGTGTTCCGAAGTTTTGAATCTCTTAGAAGAAGTGTGGCAGGGCACAAGGGAAATGATACATTTTTCAACTCTAAATTCCCCACAAAGGTGTAAAGATGAGGATTTGGGTCCTCACAGCGAACAGTAGCGCTGAATAAACCAAATGCTTGATCATTGATCAAGCCAAGTGTGGCTTCTGAGCATCTTTTAACTTTCAGGTTAGTTTCTCCATCAAGGTTCATGGTCTCTACATAACATATGCCATCCTCATAGCTGGAAGACAGTAAGAGGAGATCACTGGGAAAATATTCATTCTTGTTAACCTTAACAACATCTCCTACAGAAAGCTGTTGCCATGATTTGTCAATAAATTTGCCATCTCCAACATGAGCCTTTACAGTTCTTGAGTTCACATTCAAATCCTTGAAGACAAAATAAATTGTTTCATCAATATTATATAAAGCACAGACACATATTTGGAATTTCAGTGTCACAAGTAAACAATATAGCCCTTGCAATTTTGAAAAATGGAAAAATGATAGGTTCCTAGAAAAACAGAACAGGAAAGCTAAAGGGGTTCTTGATCATACTAAATTTTAAAGCAGGCAGGAGATTATGTAGTAGGGAGTCGATTTTGAAACGAAAAATTTAGGGCCCGTTTGATAACCATTTCAATTTTAGTTCTTAGTTTTCATTTTTTGTGTTAGAGTATAGAGAAAAAAGAGGGAGAATGGAAGTGAGAATGAAAGTGGAGATGGGATTGAGTGGGAAGATGAGAAGGGAGGATGGAGGGAGGAGTAACAAAAGTGAAAACCAAAACTAAAAACTGAAATCTATTTGAAATTGTTTTCACTTTTGTTTCTCCTCCCTCTCATCCTCCCCTCTCATCCATCCTCTCTCTTAATCTCATCCTCACTCCATTCTCACTCTCATTTTCCTCTATACTCTAGCACAAAAAATGAAATGGTTATCAAACGGGCCCTTAGTTGACATCTTTACAATTTTGCAATCATAACTAGTCTCCTTCTACAATGGGAAAATGGGAGCTAAAATTTTCAAGAAACATGAATACAAGATAACATATGGGAAGAATAGAAAACTAAAAATTTGTTTGTTTTACCTGCAAGAATCTGTGCCAATCCTCCACTGCCTCTTTAATCATACTAACCCCCACCACAAAGACCAAAGGGGCAATCAAACTTATTGGAGTAAAAGGAGCCAAATAAGCGATGGATAACACAGCTGCTAACAGAAAATAAAGATTGGCAACCCTCCGAAACTGCTCGAAAAGTGCTTTTGGAAGAAAGGTCACAACATTGTACTTAGTTGTGGAAACATAGTTCTTGGGATACTTGTAAGGCTTAGCCTTGTGTTGCAGAGGCTCATTGCAGAAGACCACCCGCGAAAATCCCGGCTGACCAAGAAGCTGCTGGCTAGGATCATGCTCAGCAGTGACAGGCCTCAAGCATGCAAAAGAATACAGTTTGCTCCATCTGATCTTCCTCTTTGTTCTTCCAGATGACCCTGGCATTTTCTGACCAATAAATCAATTTGAGAGCTTCTCTCTTTTACATTTGCAGACCAACTTCTCTTCAACTATAAGAAAATGTGAGTGAAGCTGAAGCTTCTGTCTCTTCACTCTTTTACATTTGCAGACCAACTTCTCGTCAACTATAAGAAAATGTGAGTGAAGCTGAAGCTTCTGTCCCTTCCACTCACCAAACAGACTTTCATAACAGAACCAGCACTGTTGGTTATAACATTGGCCTTCATCATAGGAAACATCAAAATCCAAATAAACAATGGTACAAGAGAATTGTCTTTTTCTCTTTCACTTTCTCTAGCTTTTAAAAGGTGGTCTTCCAATGCTGAGATTTGCAGTTTCTTGGATCAACCAAGTACATAGAAGCAGGCTGCAGGCCTTCCATTAGCCGTACCATACACAAATAACAATTCCCTTTTATGCACCTAAGAAGTATCACCCTTTGTTTGCACCTTTGAGATATCCGAAAATACATAACCATTGCCGAATTGCCTCTAGATTTGGGAATTGAATGGATCAAATTATATATAATTTCCATTCAAAGTCGAAGTAAACTAGACTTCAAATATAAGCTGAACATGTCCATATTCCTCTCATCATTTAAGTAATCTCTGATTACAATAACATTATCTGCGTGGTTTGTGCAAAGATTAAACTAAGGCAATCCATTTGTCTTCACTCAATCGTGTCAAAAATGCCTCTAGATACGTGAGAAAAGGACTAACAATACAAAGTCAAACAACCCGTTAGGTTTCTTGAATGAATATCATTATTTAAAAAAAAACAATTAATTCCTCAATTTATATGACCTTCTTCTTCTCTGTGTATTATAATAATTATGTTAGCATTGCTTTGGATTCAATTAAAGTATAAGGCACCGTCCGAAGCTAAATGCTCTCTCATATGGAATTTCAAAATCAGTCCTTAATGTAACACTCCTTTTATAACTTCGCACATTAGGGACCGGGAAAGAATCGAACTCCGGTGCACGGGGAAGGACACACTGACCAACTAGTCTAATCCATATCTTATCTGTTTTTCTTTCAAGCATGGGACATGGCTTTATTTGCAATTGCATTGTGCTTGCAAAGTACCAAAATAACACAGCATAAATGACCTCGAATGCAACAGGTACATACATATTTAAATGGATATCCAATTACCCAGATGCCTCTGGTTCTGAAACATTATTACATCAATTTAATTACAACTGAAATTATACCACTTAACTGAAATCTTTTGAGGACAAGCCAACTATAATTATAATTAGCTCAAGGGAGCTGAACGCTCTAGCAAGAAATGTCACAACATTATTTTATCCATTATCATGTGATTGTGAATCAATCAGTTCGTGAAGAATTATAGAAAAAGCAATTGACCACCAAGCAGTATATTATATGAATATTATAAGGAAAATGAAAGTATTATTGAGAAATACATACGTACATGTATAATATGAGTATTAAATGAAAAATACTAAATTCTTTATACAAATAATAACCCTAGAAATACTATTAATATGAAGAAATATTAAAAAACGGAGTATAGCTGCGCTGCTATATTATTAGTTTGAAAAAAAATTAAAAAAACATGGAGTAGAGTCGGTCCATACAGCTAAGCTTTTCGATTATATGTCTATAGAGAAAGCTCTGGATGATTGGAACCCATCATCATCAATGACTACTAATTTCACTCGCTAACGTGCCCAGCCCAGTAGAAAATGATCTTGTCTTACAATTGCCGAAACTCTTATTGGCCTTTGGCATTGACATACCGTAATTGAATTGAAGAATTATAATATATACTTGATAGGACCACATAGTTCATAAATCATGTCGAGCCAAACTAGAATATATGAGCATCAATTATATAAATTTATAAGATTCGGTGCTGCGTTCGAAAATAAAATTTGCATTCAAACAAACCCTAAGAGTTCCAAAAAGATCAAACCAAACCTAGGGAAGAAAGACAAAGGGTGCAACAGAGGATTGAGCCATGATCAACCTAAGAGCTAAATGGTGTCCTTCGTATAAAATTATTTGAGGGATCCCTCAATGGAAGGGGACTAATATATATATCGGTTGGAAAGAAAGTAGCTAAAGATTTAAAACAATTAATGTGAATAAACTTTCAAAACTAGTTTTGAATCTGTTCAGGGTATGTTTTCTATTGACAGGCCCGAATCCCTCATAAGTTGTAAGGCTGTAAAATTTGACCAAATGCTTCCCAAATCATGTTGAGCCAACTAGTCTCACTATATAAATGTAACATTTTCATATAATTTTGAAAGAGATTTCGTACCATGCCCCCTGCACTGCACTCGACCAAGAGTCTTATTTAGGAGTAACTTTTATATACATAGTTCTTTCTATACATAGTTCTTTGCTAGCTAACAGGTGTTCAGAGAAGTTTGCCCTCTTTCAAAGCATACAAGTCCCATGAAACGTTGTGCTCAAACGCCTGCATCTTTGAGGTTTGGTGGCCCATGTCAACCAACCATATGGTCCATAAGTGTACTAAACATGAAAAATACGTACATACGTGTATTTTATGTTTGCTTTTTATATATATATAAAAACCTGTATTTTACCAAGTCTTTAAGACATGTACGGAAAACGGAAGTATTATTGAAAAATACATATGTATGTGTATTATATGAATATTATAAGGAAAATGAAAGTATTATTGAGAAATACATACGTACATGTATAATATGAGTATTAAATGAAAAATACTAAATTCTTTATACAAATAATAACCCTAGAAATACTATTAATATGAAGAAATATTAAAAAACGGAGTATAGCTGCGCTGCTATATTATTAGTTTGAAAAAAAATTAAAAAAACATGGAGTAGAGTCCCGTGACTATACTATCAATTTGAGTAAATATTTAAAAAGGAGTATAAAAACATGGCGTATAGCCGCGCGGCTATACTATTAATTTGAGAAAAAAAAACAGTATAGCCGATCGGCTATACTCTCGTCGTATATTATATGTCAATAGTATAGCCGCGCGGCTATACTATTAATTTGAGAAAAAAAGACAGTATAGCCGATCGGCTATACTCTCGTCGTATATTATATGTCAATAGTATAGCCGCGCGGCTATACTATTAATTTGAAGAAAGCAAAAAAAAACAAAACGACGTATAGTCGGGCGGCTATACTATGAATTTGGTTAAAAATTTAAAAACACGGCGTATAGCCGCGCGGCTATACTATTAATTTGAATAAATATTAAAAAGGGAGTATGGCCGGGCGACTATACTATTATTTTTTGGAAAATAAAAAATGAGGTATAGCCGGGCGGCTATACGTTTAATTTGATTACAAAATCCAAGAACGCGTAGTATAGCCTATATTATTAGTTTGATGAAAAAAATTAGAAAAAACGGAGTATAGCCCCGTGGCTATACTATCAATTTGAATAAATAATAAAAAAGGAGTATAAAAACACGGCGTATAGCCGATCGGCTATACCGTTAATTTTTTTTTGAAAAAAACACCGTGTATAGCCGCGCGGCTAGACTATTAATTGGAATAAAAATGTTAAAAAGGGAGTATAGCCGCTCGGTAATACTATTAATTTGAATAAAAATTTAAAAAACACGGGGTATAGCCTGGTGGCTAGCTTTTCATATATTATATGTCAACAGTATAGCCGGACGGCTATACTATACTAGTAATTTGAAAAAAAATTTAAAAACACGAAGTATATCCGCTTGGCTGTACTATTAATTTTAATAACATTTAAAGACACGGAATATAGCCGCAGGGCTAAACTATTAATTTGAATAAATATAAAAAAGGGAGTATAGCCTTCCGGCGATACTATTATTTTTATTAAAAAAAAAAAAAAAAAAGGAGTATAGCCGCGCGGCTATACGATTAATATGATTACAATTGGGACCAGTATGAAGAAGAAGGTGAAGATGCAAACACAAACAAATTTGGGAGCTTTAGTCATGATGTCTATCTTGCAAAGCTAAAAATCTCACACTTATCATTATAATTTTTTTGTGGGCTCTCGAGCCATCCAGCTGGTATGTATATATTGTACCATTAATCACATTATTTTCTAAGATTCTGTTCTTGTACTTCAAAATCATAGGGGATAGTCGTGATTATTCTCCCTCTCATTTTCAAGCATTTGGTCCTATCAAATACATTTATATAAACACCTCCAATTTGATGAACTCTTTTTTTTGTTTTTTGGTTACAAGGCAGGCCGAAGTTAGAAAAGAAAAAAAAGCTAACAAGGCATAACCCTACTTTGGGCTCTTCCTAGATCATCATCTAGCAACAAGCTTGAGAGGGAGACAAGTGGTTATTTTTAGGTGATGTGGCGCACGTGTGGCCGTTGAGCTTTCACACATGGACTAACCCACTTTGATACCATGAAGGAAGTTGAGGTTCCACCCCAAAACCAATTGGCAGTTTGATGAAATCTTTGGTTCCTTGGAAAAGTATATATACATTACATAAAATATAAATAAATTATGTACATATTAAATGCTAATCCTTGTACCCGAGTTCGATCCACCATACATTAGTTTAAAATATCATTTTGTTAAAAAATAAAAATAATTCAATTATATGCCAAGAATTTCCATAGGCCCATACTCAAAATTATACACAAAGCCCTCGTCTTGTCTCCAGCCCAATACCAAAAGCTCAAGAGCTTTTAATAAATAAAAGAATTTTATTTAATTTTGGGGGCAAAAAGCCGCAAAACCGAAAACCTCACCGCCACCACCACAGCTCAAGTCGCTTAAACCCTGCCCTATCAATAGAGTCGATTTTCAGAATCAGACACCAAACGGCACCGTCGTCCGTTCCAATTCGGTTGAAGAATCTGAGACCTGTAATTGAAGCTTCCTAACCAAATGTGAGTTTCAATTTATTCTCCAACGTTCTGTTTGATTTCCAGGAAAATTTACAGCTACTTACATGAAAAAAGGTTTACAATTTCAGGTCAAGGATTTG